CTCAAGCTGGTCTCGAACTCCTGAGCTTAAGTGATCCTCCTGCCTCAGCCTCCCCGAGTGCTAGGATTACAGGTGTGAGCTAATTTCTTTAAAATATGTTTGAGGGTAAAAAGTAAAAAATATAATATTGTGTGCTGGAGTTTTTCATGTATGTAGATGCAATATATAACAAAAGTAAAACATAAAGGAAGAGAGGCTAAAGGGACCTATGCGGTGGTGAGATTACTATGTGTCAGGGAAGAGAGATTCCGGGTCCTTGATACCACCCTGCCCCATCCTTGGTAAGCTCCTGGCTTTGTTCCCTACCCCCCAAAACCAGCACCCCAGGGCCATGCCCCCTTATGGGGTTATGAGCCATTCTGCTTTCTGTTCAGTTGTTCATTCCTCTGAACCTCCTATGTGCTTGGGTCCATGAAGGATGCAAAGTGAATCTGCTTGTGTCCTTCCTGTCTGAGAATTTATGGGGGAAAAGGGAAAGACGGGCTGGCAAATTAAAGCTAATAATGTGCTTTATAGTAAAAAAGCTTATGTAGAACCAGCTAGGTTCACTGTGCTTACACAATTTTTCTTTTCTTTTTTCATTTTCTGATTGAGTCAAATAATTTTTATTTTTAAGAAACATACGGCATTCCTTCTCATATCTTTACCGAGTTCCAGATGTAGATGTACACACACACACCATAATGTTTAGAGGGATCAGCCCTTGTAGAAGTATACAGAAAGTATTCAGTCGTCCACCATATCTTTATTGATTTCTAACTCCTGGGCTTGTGCTGGGCACTTGTCAGAGTCACAGATTAGCAGGTGACACATGCATGAAACACCTAACTGCCACACAGAATGAGGGTAGCATGATGGAATTAGGTACCTTTGCTATGGAGGTGCAGGGAGGAGCCATAACAATTTTGGGCATAGAGGAGAGAACTCAGGAAGTCTATATAGAAGAAAAGAAACTTGAGTGAGGTCTTCAAGGGTGAGGAGGAGTCCTGCAGGTGGGCAAGGAAAAGGGTGAGAATGTCCTGCTGAGAAAAACACGCGGATTCGGTACAAATAACACAGTTGTCAGCACAGTTAAATTAGTGTTGGGTAGAGGGACCCAAGAGACAAACCTGGGGAGAGATCTGGGACCCTTGCTGAAGATGGGCCTCATTTATGACATAAGGGCTTGCTTCCCTACATATTTTCATTTTTATTTTTATTTTTGTTGACTATGTGTTACATGCACATGATAAAAAATCCAAAAAGTACAAAAGGTATATGGAAACTATTAAGCTTCCCTCCTTCACTGCCCCCATCATCCTGTTCCTCTTCCTAAAGTCAGTTGCCAAAGCTGGTTTCCTGGGCATCCTTCTAGAGCTGCTTTCTTTATGTTTACAAATGTGTGTGCACCTGTGTATTCTCCATACAAAGGCTGTGTTTTGTGCTTTCTATTCTTCACCTGGCTTTTTTATTTGGGTATTTATATGGACTATGGATGTATCGTAATTCATTGGATCAGCCCTGTATTGGAGGAATTTAGGTAATTCTAGTCTTTTGCTATTATAACTGTGCTGCAGCAAATATCCTTGTATACAAGTCCATCTGCACATGATGGTGTATCTGTAGGATAAATTCCTAGGAATGAAATCATTGGGTCAAAGAGTGTATTTTTAGTTTTAGTACGTAACACCAAATTGCTGTCCTCAGGGGCTCTGCCTGTGCCTGTGACTCTGGCCAACAGCATCCTATAGTCCCTCCTTGTCCATGGGGGGACTTTCCCAGACCCCTAGTGGGGGCCTGAAGCCGTGGATAGTACCAAACTCTATAAGTACTGCTTTTTACATATACATACCTACCTAAGATAGAGTGTAATATACAAATATACAAATTTTGTAATATACAAAATTATTATTTTAACAGTAATAAAATAGAACACGCAAGAAACTGAAATAGTGGAAAAGAAGGAAAATAAATATTTTTAAAAATTAAAAAAATTAATAAATAGAACAATTATAACAATATGCCAGCATCACTACTCTTGTGCTTTGGGGCCATTATTAAGTAAAATAGGCGTTACTCGAACGCAAGCACTGCGATACCTCAGCAGTTGATCTGATGACCCAGGTGGCTACTGAATGACTACAGTATGGATATTGTGGACAAAGGTGATTCACGTCCCGGTGGGACGGTGTGAGATTCCATCATGCTGCTCAGAACAGCACAAAATTTAAAACTTATCAATTATTTCTGGAATTTTCCATTGAATATTTTCGGACCAAGGTTGATCGTGGGCAACTGAAACCACGGCAAGTGAAACCGTGAATAAGAGGGGCCTACTGTGTAATTTAACTTTTTGCCCTTTTAGGCTTTATCCTGTAAGCAGTGGTAAGCCATTGAGAGGTTTTTGAGCAAGGGATGTACAATCAGATTTGTACTTTGGAGAGATCACTTGGGCTGCAGTGATGATGAGTGTTTAGCGGAGGCAAAGACTGGAGTCATGATTACCAATTACGAGGCTTTACAGTAGCCCAGACAAGACAGAATTGTTGGCAGCTTAGATTAGGTAGCTGGCAGTGGAGACAGAAGGAAATGGATATTGGGCTTAAGGAAGTAGACTCAGTAGAACTACGGACTGATCCAGCTGCAGGGGGAGTGAGGAGGAGTGAGGGTAGCTTTACACAAGAAGTTCTGTTTTCAGTCTCAACCGTAGCAGGCTGTGTGCAAAGTCCGCACTTCCCTTGTAAATTTATAGATCTACATCTATATTAATACTTTCTAATCCTAGAATATCAGAAGGTAAAAGAAGCTTCTAGTACGTTACTAATTGCTGTTTGTTGGCTCCAAGGCATTTTTATCTGTTAGTATCTGGTTGTCGGAGAAGGCGGAAGAGCATTTTTGTTAAAATTCTTCGGTTGGACTTACATAGTCACCGAACTCTTTAATTTCTCTGTATCCATACCATTCATTCAAAATTTCATATTCGGTAAAGTAGCTTCAAATCCTACATTTAATTTATATGTATTTTAATTGTATATATTTTATTTTATTTTTTTGAGGAAAAGGAAAGAGAAGTTTATTTATTTGCTGACAAATGAGGAGGGCAGCAGACTAGCATCTCAAAAGACCACCATCCTCCAATTACATATATTTTAAAGTCTTTCATTATGTGGTCTGATTGCTTTGATTTTGTGTGTGGTTCTGATGTTTTAAAATGTTTGCATGTAGTAATTTAATTTATAATTTGAATTTGACACATTGCCATTAATTCTTTTATTCATTTTGTTATTTTTTACAATGAGCAACACTAAAGTGTTTCTGCTTCCTCCCGCCCTTCCCCCATTCATCTTCTCTTTCATATCAGCCTAAAGTTTTATTTCTAAGTGAATATCTTTGTGTAGTTAAATAGCCTATATTTTTGTCACTTGCCTTTTCAGCTTTGAGTTAATGTCTTTGGTTCCTGGACAGGTGGTGACATAATCAAGGCACTAACTCGGCTTGTCATTCTCTTCCCCCTTTCACTCTGTGCTGGTTGCACAGTGTCTGTAGCATCGGGGCGTATCACACGGACATTCTGATTTGCCGCTCTACACCCCACTTGGCTTTAGTCTTGGTTCTGCTGTTCTGTGTCAATATTGATATTTAATATGTGCTAATATAGTATTATAAGTGAAATATATTTAGTGCTTACCATGAATTCTTTCTCTGTGGTTTCCTCAATCATCTTTTGGTTAAGTAAAGTTTGTCCTCTGGTCGTTTCCTCAAGCAGAGCTCATGGGAACAATATTCCTTTCCAAGATCTGTCCTCCCCCCTCTCCCCACGTCTTCTGCTTGATTTTTACCCAGTCCCCCTGGCCCCACAGCTCCTGTCCTATGTGCCGTCTATAGGCTTATCACCTCCACGGGAGTCCTTTATCTGTGGTGCTAATAACTGTGTTTTTGCTAGCATATTCCGAGACCTGCTGAGCTGCTTCACGGTTTGTTTCCACCCCCCACAGCTTTTGTTTCTCCTCCACCTCCCAGTGTCTGCATCCGTCTGCTTTTGGCAGCCGTTATCCTTTTGTTTATTTGTATCTTTAGAGTGTAGGTTTTATTTTCACTAACAATGGAGTTTGCTCTGTTTATTTCTTGTTTACTTTGTTGGTTTTGATGATATCCAGGATAAAAAGAGGCAAATTACTGTCTTATGCCATCATATTTAGACAGGAAGTCTTTTATAATAATTATATTTAAATGGGTGGCACTGCAGTATAATCTTAATAGTGAAGAACATGTGATTTGGAGCTAGACACACCTGGCTCCTAATCTAAACTCTGCCACTTACTACCTGATAGTGGACAAATCACATCCCTTCTCAGCATTGTTATCTCTGGGATGGCGATGAGTATGCACACTGTTGGGAGGAGTAGTGAGGTGATGTGTGTGATATGTAGGAGCTGAGCATGGTGCTTTGCAACCACTAGGTATTCAGAAGGGTAACATTATAGTGTTTCACTGATTTCTTGGCATAGGTACCATTCATGAGTTTCATTAACCCTCCTTGTTGGGACAGCATCATATTATCACCACTCACTCAGCGTTACTGGTGGATGCTGTCATTGAGGCCATTATTGGGAGACCCTTTGGCACTCTCCTACTTCACCCATATTCCTATCTGGGGCCATGAGAGAAGGACAGATTGACTGCTCTGGGAGCCCTGGGGAGCACTGTCGTCCAAGGGCAAGGGTGAGGGGTAGCGTAACACAAGAGCAGGGTCTTTCAGGAAAGGTGGATTTCTTCAGGAAGAGGTGGAAAAGGCCAGAGCTGGGCCTGGATGCTGGATATTCCCTAGTCCAGCTTCTGGATCAGAGATTAGGGTGGGTGGCATGGGGATCTGGGACTATGTCCTATGTCTGCCTCCCAAGCCCCACCAGGATTCCCATCAGAGCAGTTCTGGTGAGGTCAGAGGAGGCTGGGAAGCCAGGCTGGAAAGAGCTTCCAGTGCACGTGCAGTTAAGTCCTTGCTTTTGTCCACATGTTCTCAGGTCCTGGAGTCCCAGGCAGCCATGGCTCCGACCGTGTCAGCCAGCAGCAGCTCTGACGTGGCCTCTGCTGGTTGTGGCACCTCCAGAAGTCAGGGTGCCATCGAACGTATGGATGTAGAAACCCAGGAGGATGGAAGAACATCTGCTGGCCAGGGGACTGGAGGCAAGAAGGATGTGCAGGCAGATGGGAAGATGCAAGTGGATGGGAGGACCTGTAGAGACAGAGCTCGGACAACTCAGAGGACACAGGCAGGCAGGAAGGCACAGGTGGATGTCATGACACAAGAGCGTGAGAAGCCACAGTCAGACAGGAGTTCACAGAAGGATGTGGTGATACAGGGAAAGGTGGAGACACAGGTAGAAAGGACACAGGCAGGTGAGAAGATGCAGGAAGACAGGAAGGCACACGCAAATGAGAGGACACAGGAAGACAGAAGGGGACAGGAAGGAAAGGGGACACAGTCAGAGGGGAGTGTACCCACAGCCACGAAAGCTCAGCTGGAGCAGGAGGCCGTGACCAGCCCCAGCCCACCGGCCACAGCCCCTGAACTCCCACCTTCAGAGGGTCCTACGTCTTCTCAGATTATTGAGAGTTTTACACAGACCCCAGAAACGTCCTGTGTCCCCCAAAAACCTGGTTTCATGCTCAGATCTGAGGAGGCAGCAGCCACAGCCTCCAGGAACCCTGAGGGTCCCCTATCAAGGAATCTTCTGCTCCCAGCACAGCTGTCTCCCAAGGGGAGCGTGGAGCAGGTGGGAGGAGAGAGCTGTCAAGGGCCAGAGCCATCAGGGCCAGTGAAGGCCAGGCTGGGGGACAGCACGTTCCAGCGCCCCAAAGGGGAGCAGCCAGAGGTGGCTCCGTGTGTGGATCTGGCTGGCTGTCCTCCAGCTGGCCTGCGCCAGGAGGCACCCACTGTGCCCTCTCTTCCTGGGACTGGCCTGACCAATAGCCCCAAGGAGGGACTGCCCAGCGCCCTGACTTCTCAGCACGTGAGCACAGCTGCCTTCCTGCCCTCTGGGGAGCAGGCCTTGCTGAGTTCTGCCCCTACACTGCACTTGGGGCTGGGGACCCCCACCCAGAGTCGCCCATCAGAAACCATGGCCTCCAGCAATGAAGGCGCCTGCGCCATGGCAGCAGATGTGGAGGGGAGGCCCCCAGGCCCCCGGAGCTGTGACCCCGGCCTCATAGATTCCCTGAAGAACTACTTGCTTCTGCTGCTAAAGCTATCCAGCACAGAGACAAGTGGAGCAGCGGCAGGGTCCCAGGCGGGGGCTGCCACTGGAGATCTGGAGCCCCCGTCCACTCTGGTCCCCACTGTGGAAGTGGCCGGGCTGAGTCCCCGGACGTCGAGGCGCATCCTGGAGCGTGTGGAGAACAACCACCTGGTGCAGAGCGCACAGAGCCTGCTGCTGAGCCCCTGCACCTCCCGCCGCCTCACCGGCCTCCTGGACCGCGAGGTGCAGGCGGGCCGCCAGGCCCTGGCTGCTGGCCGGGGCTCCCAGGGCCCCGGCCTCAGCCCCCTCACCGTGCCCGCCATCGTGGTAGGTGAGGAGGGCCTTGGGCTGGCCTCAGAAGATGAGGGAGAAGTTTCCCTTGAGGGGCCTGGCCTCCTGGGTGCCTCCCAGGAGAGCAGCATGGGCGGGCCGCTGGGGGAGGCGGGAGGGCAGGCAGCCCCTGCGCAGGGACTGCTCTCGGCAGAGGCCAGAGCCCAGGAACGCTCTCAAGAGGACGAGGTCCCAGGGGAGGCTCTGACAGGTCTCCCTGCAGCCACACCTGAGGAACTGGCTCTAGGAGCACGGAGGAAGAGATTCCTCCCTAAGGTCAGAGCAGCAGGCGATGGGGAGGTGACCAGGCCTGAAGAAAGGGAGAGTCCCACGGTTTCCCCCCGGGGGTCCAGGAAAAGCCTGGCGCCTGGGTCCCCGGGGACTCCGGGGCGGGATAGATGCTCCCCTACCCAAGGCAGGAAGGCGGGCATGCTGGAGGTGCCACGGGCAGAGGAGGAGCCGGCAGCAGCAGACCTGGGCTCCAGCCCCAAGGCCGGGGGTCTGGACACAGAGCTGGCCCCAGACGAAGGCAAGCAGGAGGCTCTGGCCAAGCCCAGGAAAGCCAAAGACCTGCTGAAAGGTGAGCCGTGGGGAGGGGGTGTGGCTTCGCGGGGAGGGCTGCCCAGAGGCCACCAACAGCATCCCCACCATGGGTGACACATCCCTGCTGGGGATTTACAAATGTCCTCTGTAGCGGTGGTGTCATCTCCCAACCTTTGGAGTCCGAAAGACCTAGTTCTTGGCTTGGTTCCGCCACTGCGTACAGGGGGCGACAGGACCACCCTGGGACGTTGTGAGGCTGCATGGGGTAGAATAAATCAAGCTCTCAGCACGGGGCCTAGCGGCAGCAGCGTTCAAGCTCTGTCGTCAGGATGGCCACAGTCCCCTCTTCGCAGACTCTCCCGCGACTGCAGTCAGGGAGATGGGATTCGCTTGCAGGTTTCTGGAGTTAGGGGCTGGAATACAATCGGAAGTTCCTGTCTTGACTACGGTCTGTGCCCTCGGCTGTGAGCCCCTCCAGCCTGGGGTTGGGGGCACAGCGGCTTCTTTCTAGCCTAGACGTGTGCTGTGGGGTCGGGCGGGAAGCCTGAGGTGCGGGTGGGAGGCAGCTGGAGACTATGACGTGGCGGGTTGGTGTGGACACTTGAATCCTGTTTTCTTGCAGTGTCTTCCTCCATGGACGTCCAGGGAGGCAGGGCTGTGGCCAGAAAGGGCACAGGATGGAAGGGGAGTGGTTTCTCCCTCTTGACTCTGCCCTGCTCTCAGCCCCACAGGTTATCCGGAAGATTCGGGTGGAGCAGTTTCCTGATGCCTCGGGTAGCCTGAAGCTCTGGTGCCAGTTTTTCAACATTCTGAGTGACTCAGTCTTGACATGGGCCAAGGATCAGCGCCCAGTGGGCGAGGTGGGCAGGAGGTAAGCCCCCCATACCACCTCTGCCTCACCGGCTCCCTAATTACAGTGATAGTGTTGGGCATTTTCCTAGCACTGTGAATCTGTCACCCCATTTAATCCTCACAATAGCCCCGCGAGGGAGGTTCTATTATTCCCATAGTAGAGATGAGAAAATTGAGGTTCAGAAGTCTTTAAGCCACTTGCCAAAGTCACACAGCAAGTAAGTGACAGGACTGCAAAACACGCCTGCGTGATCCAGGACCAGCTCTTGACCATGGAGTTCGCTGCCTCCCTGGAGCTCTCAGAGCCTGGATTCCCAGCAGCCAGTGAGAGTCGGGTCTGAGGACCCCTAGGACCACAGTCTGGCCCTGTCTGTGACTCGGTGATGGCGTTCACAAGAAGGGTCTCTGCTTTCTGCAGCGCAGGGGATGAGGGGCCGGCGGCCTTGGCCATCGTGCAGGCGTCCCCCGTAGACTGCGGCGTGTATCGATGCACCATCCACAACGAGCACGGCTCGGCCTCCACTGACTTCTGCCTCAGCCCTGAGGGTGAGTGTGCCCTGCGGCCTGGGTCTCGGCCTGGCCTGGCTCCTGGCGGGGAGGCAGCAGCGTCTTTGCAGAGAAGGCAGTCTCCCTGGGCACGTCGGCCTGAGGCAGCTTTCTTTTCTTTTTCTCCACATAGTGTTGTCAGGATTCATCTCCAGAGAAGAAGGTGAAGGTACAGTGCCCCTCGGGGGAGGAGGGGTGGGCCTTCATCCCTCCCTGTCACCTGCAGCGAGGACCTTCTTTAAGGGCTTAGAATCTGGTCCAGATCCACACACGGCCTCCCTTTGCCTCCTAGTTTAGGGTATGGCTTAGGGAGGAGGATAGAGGATGCTGGTTCAGAAGACTTGGGGAAGAAGTGGCTGGGGGGGGCCACTGCACAAGGAGTCATTTCAGCCTTGTGCCCTTTGCCCACACCAGGTTCCTTGAGCAAGGCCAGGACTGGCCACCAGGGCATATCTTATCCCGCAGCCCTTACCCAGAGTTTGTGGACTGGTGTGTTAGATTCACACAGGGAGCCTGCTAAGAACGCAGTTTCTTGGCCCCTACTGCACACGTCCTTGCTATCCGGGAAGGAGCTAGGAACACTGCCCTGTCAGCAGGCTCCCTCGTGGCTGTGAAATACCCGCAGTTTGATAAGCCGTTTAAGGGCTCAGATATTAGGAGAAGAGTCTATACTGCTCCTGCACGAGACCTGCTAAAGGCTTGGGACTTTGAAGGCAGCCAACGATGAAAAGATGTTTAAAGCTTCATTTGCTAATTAATGCATTAATTCCTTCCTTCATTCACTCATTCAACCACTCATTCATCCAACTAGTGTCTTTTGTTATCAAATAACATAATCAATGTTAAATAAAACCTCACAGCTAAAAACTTAGTAATAATTCTTTAATATCATCAACTATCCAATCATATTGCCCCAATCATCTCATAACTGTTGGTTTATTTGAATCAGAAACCACTCATTGCTTTTGGCTGATAGCGCCCAAGTCTCTGAACACATAACAGTGTCTCCGCCTTCATTTGTTTTCTCTCCTTGCCATTTATTTGTTGAAGTCACTTGACGGGTAGACTTTCTTACATTCTGCATTTTGAAGTCACTTGACGGGTAGACTTTCTTACATTCTGCATTTTCTTGATTATAGCACCACTTCCTCCACACATGTACTTCTAAATTGTAATCAGATTGAGAGGTTTGGTCAGATTCAGGTGTGATTTTTTGGCATGAATAATCCACAGATGTGCTGTATATATTGTTTTGCAGCCTGTCGAGAGGCACATAACATCAGATTGTTTCACTTTTGGTAATGTTAAGATCGGTCATTGGGTTCATTCATTTGGTGTCTGTGGGATACATCCTTTTTAAAGTTTACAAACTGTCTGATACAACCCCTGTTGTTATCTAAGGATTTTGGCAGTCACTGAGCATTGCCTAAATCTATCATTTCGTTAGGAGTTGCAACATGGAGATATTTTAATTCTATCATTCCTTCTTCATTCATTTGCTGAAACTTTTCTGTAAAGAAGAAATAATTATTTGGTTACCCTGATACATATAGGTCCAACAGAAAATGAAGGATAAACACCTGCTCTTTTCACTTTACTTACTAGGTTTCAGAATAGTGAGTTGGGCCTCCAGCAGCCCCTTCCAAAGGTGACCAATGAAGTTTGTTTTTTGAGGTGTGATTGGTTTTTTTTTTTTTCAGTTACCATTGTGAACACATGGATTTTTAACATATTTGATATGTTCAATACATTATAGTAATTACTCTCTTTGTTGCTAAGACTGTTTTCATCTGTGGCCAAGGGGAAGCCCTTCGGGTCGGCGCTTGTGTCCTTTCGACACGTCTCCAATAGTTCTGATGGCTCCCTTGCCTTCTGGCCTCACAAGGTGTTTGAGGTCTGTGCTGTACACTTCCTGTCTAGACCTGGAATCCACTGTCTCCTGCGGGGGCTCTGCTTGCCTTTAGTGGGAAGTGATACTTGACAATCACAGTTTGGGCATTGGGGTGCTCACTGCTACTGGATGGATCCCGCAAACTTTTTGTTTCAGTCAAACGTGTTGGCTGAGATGGAATTATTTGATCACACCTAATTCTAATTCTAACTCTAATTGCTACTGCCACAGAAAGCCCCTGCCTTCCACACACACTTGCTGAGCCCTCGCTGTGTGATAGATACCACGCGAGCACTGTTAGATGACAGGGGTGGGTTCAAGGGCAGTTGCTGCCCCAAGGAGGTCACAGTCTGGGAGGGGACTCGTAGCGTACCCCCAAAGAGCAGTCGTGGACAGGAAGTGAACATACCAGGTTGGCAGAGCGGGAGACCGTTCTGGCCTTTTCCTTCCCTATGGGCCCCACATCGGTCAGGCAGGGGCTTCTAGTTTTTCACATTTCTCCTGTTCCCCTTCAGTTGGAGAAGAGATTGAGATGACCCCCATGGTATTTGCCAAGGGTCTGGCTGACTCTGGCTGCTGGGGGGACAAGCTCTTTGGGCGACTGGTGAGCGAGGAGCTCCGAGGGGCTGGATATGGGTGTGGCCTCCGGAAGGCCTCCCAGGCCAAGGTCATCTACGGGCTGGAACCCATCTTCGAGTCGGGCCGCACGTGCATCATCAAAGTGTCCAGCCTGCTTGTGTTTGGGCCCAGCAGTGAGACTTCTCTTCTGGGCAGAAACTACGATGTCACCATCCAGGTAGTGTGTCCCATCCTCATGCCCCATCCCTTTACTCTCTCACTTCCTGCCCTTTCCCAGCCAGGGTCCTGTTGGGAGCCCTAGTGCAGAGGCAGGTGCCATCTCAATCTCGACCTTATGAGGTTCCTAGAATGGACCTCAAGGAGAGCCTGAGGTGTAGCCAGAATCCAGGTGCTTGGCCTCAGAGGACTGGAGAGCTTCAAAACCATGTGGGCCATAGTTTTCAAGCTATATATTTGCAGCAGAATCCTTTTCCCTGCCTCAAACACAGTTTCTCATGGCAGCCATATTTCTATGTGAAATAAAAGGGGAGTGATGTGGGTGGGGTGGGTAGTCGTCCCTGCTCTCCAGAGCGGTCCCTGGGGCACTGCCACCTATCATTAGGGCTCCAGGAAACATAGTTGGGAAACCACTTTGAAAACCTTAGTTTGAAAAGAAGTCCAAAGCCCCTTCTTATTGGAAGGAGGAAAACGAGGCACAGAGTAGGATGAGAAGGAGTGAGCCCACCTCCCCCGGGGCGGAGTCCTGCCTGCAGTGCCCCGTGGGCGGCCCACCACTTAGAGCTAAGCACAGTGGAGAACTGGGGGCTCCTCTGCCGATCAGATTTGGTTCCCTCTAATCCGCAGGGCTGCAAGATCCAGAACATGAGTCGAGAGTACTGCAAAATCTTTGCGGCTGAAGCCCGTGCGGCACCTGGCTTCGGGGAGGTGCCTGAGTGAGTGTGCGGGGGGGAGGACGTGCAGCGGCAGAACTGCTGCCTTGAGCTTCTTCAAAGACAGTGGCTTCCCAGCCCCCAGGGGCATCCCATGTGCAGATAGGCTCACAGCAACCCCTCGCTCAGCTCAATGGTCCCCCAAAATCGAAATAAAGACCTCAAGATTCACCCCCCACTTGAGGAAGGTCTCTGCTCTGGTCTTGAGTGTCTCCTCACCCACCCTAATTCCCCACTCTTTAGCTAAGGTTCTGCTGATGGCAGAGTTTGGGCACAGCAGATTCCGGGTCTCTGTGCAGGTGACGGGGCGGGCCAAGCTGGGCAAGCTGGTCGGGACTCTGCCTAGGCAGGGTCAGTGTGGAGTTTTGTAGGAGTCAGCTACAAATGGCAATTGTTTCTGTTTTGAGACTTGAAATCTAACTCTTTCATATCTAGGGTCTGACTGGCAGTGAGCCCCAGTCTGACTCTCTAGGGGTGTCCTTGCTGTGGACACCCACTGCCCTCAGTCCCTCGCCCAAGCGGCCATAGCAGGGTGTGGTTCTAAAACCACCGACCACAGAACGTGGACAGAACTCTGAAGCCCATGGCCTCCATTTCCTTTCCTGAGCTCAGTGTGGAGCTGTACCCACCCCCCAGTCCCTACTCCCCACCCCCACCTCAGCCCTGCTGTCCTCCAGGCTCAGAGCTGACAATTCCATTCTTGGAACGGCCCTTCTTTTAGAGTCAAGAATACAGAACTGGGTGGGAGGGAGGAGCTCTCTGGGCCATAATTCCCACTCACTGCAGGGTGAAACTGTGTTTAGGATCATCCCGCTGTATCTAATCTACCGGCCTGCAAATAACATCCCATATGCTACCCTGGAGGAGGACCTGGGCAAGCCTCTGGAGTCTTACTGTTCCCGGGAATGGGGCTGCGCCGGGGCTCCGGCAGCATCCAGCAGCTTTGAGGTCGTGCAGAAGTGCCGGACCTTCCAGCACTGGCTGTACCAGTGGACGAACGGCAGCTTCCTTGTCACAGACCTGGCAGGTATGAGGGTGCGCATGTGCATGGACGTGAGTGCGTGCAGAGGGGCAGAGCCATAGTGATTGATAGTTTACAAAGCACTTTCGCGTCTGTCCTTTTTTACTTTGCACAATAATCCCATAGAGTAGATGGGACACGGGCCGTTTCGCGTATAACCCTAACACGCACCAAGGCCTCGTGTAGCCTCGTCTACAACTGCAGTTGCATTTAAAGAAGTGCAGTCCAGGCCTACTTAAAATTAAAAAGGAATTTATCTCAAAGAACATTAGATGGGATCTAATTCAAAACCCACAACCACCCTTTTCAAAGTCTCCCTTCCCCATGGCTTTGCTCTAGACTGTCGCTCCCCAAACCTCCCAAGTTCTCTCCCCCATCCTGCCACGAGTAGCTTCACTGTCTCTCTTCCTCCTCCTCCTCCATTTCCTCCTCCTCCTCTTCCTTCTTGTTAGCTTTCTGTTCTGTAAGCCAACATATGTTTATCTGGCTTCCTTTTAGTTTGATTTATATGTCCCCCATTGCCCAGAACTCCCCAGCACAGGAAGGCCAGCAAGCACGAACCGCCTTCCTTCCTGGAGCGTCTGCCAGAAGGCCCGCTCTGACCTCAGCTAGGCGGGGAGAGGAAAAGATAAAATGCTCGGTGGGAGGAGAGGTTGCTGGGAATATCACACGTTAGTATACCTTGTTCCCGAGGCAAACAAGTGAGAAAACCAAGGGTCACAGATACAAAACTGACTCCAATGTGCTTTTCATGGGGGTTAAATTGTACAATAATTACTGTATATAACTCCGCATATGGGGGTGAGGGCGCGAGGTAACACATTAGGCCGTTACCAGTCGATCTCTTTATGAACTTGCACATTCGTGCTTCCATCCCTTTTCCATCCAGCCATGACTAAATATTGGGAAGATAAAAGATGAATTAGCCATAGTCACTGTCCTCAAGAAACTGTGATAAGTAGGCTGCTTTGTGCCATAAGATAGTAACACGGTGTAGTAGAAAGCCTTTGGAGTCAAAGAAATTTCATTTACGTCTCAGCCCCGTTGTTTTCTAGCTGAGTGAGTCTCTCTCTGTTTTACAAAGAAGAAAACGAAAGCTCAGACAGGTTAGGTCGTTAATCTCTCTGAGCTGCAGTGTCCTTTCCCTGTCTAGGGATGACGTCTTCCCTGCCTCTCTCTCTGACTCGTTATGAGGATTGAGCAAGACCCCGTTTGTGAGCGCCTTCTGCACATTAAAATTCTGGGCAAGTGTAAGGGGTCATCCCCGACAACAGGAAATGGCATGCCGTGGATGCCCACAGAAACATGACAAAGGCGTTAGTATGTGTCACATGACTACTGTGTCAGACACTAAGAGTCCTGCACACACGATGGCCTTCTCAGCACCCCTGTGAGACAGGCTTTATCGTCCCCACTTCTACAGTTGAGGGCTGGAGGCGCGAGGTGACTGGCCACGTTCACCCCATTCAGAGTGATAGGGCCGAGGTGTAAATCTGGGCCTGTCTGATTCTGAAGCCCACGTTTGTTCTACTCTATCGTATGTTGGTGCCCAACCCTGTTGGTGAAAGGCAGGTTCCTAGAAAAATGCTCTGGGCAGTTTGAAAATGGGGAAAGAAGGTCACAGACCTGACACAGAAATGCTGAGAGCCTCGGGTGGACTGACCAGGACAATTTTTGCTCTCTCGCCGTTGTTCCTGCTTCTGTTCTTCCAAGGCCGTCTTCACCTGGAAGCGCACCTTGGCTCGCCCCGCGCGTGCTCGTTGGGTTCTGAGCCCACGCCTGTCTACCCGCGCGCTCCCAGCCCCCTCCCCCGTCCCGACGCACCGCTCATCTCACAGGAGGGAGGGGACGGTCTTAGCTCAAAGCCAGAGGCCAGGCCAGTAGTGCCCTGGTCTGACCCAGTGGAGGCGGGACTGCGTAGCTGGAAGAGCTACGGCTCTAGGAGTGAGAAAAGCTGAACTCTTACTTTGACTCACCGTGGCCACTGCACGCAGTCAGTGCTCCATTATTGAATGAAAGCACAAGCGTGACTTTGCTCACGTCATCTAACCCTGAGCCCGTCTCCCCATTTGTAAAAATGGCCGTACTGTTCCGAGTAATGACGCAGGTCTGCACGCGGCCGGTGAGACAGGCTGGTGGTGCCGGCCGGGGAGGGGCCGCCTGAAGGTGTCTTCACTGAAACCTGGAGGGTCCCGTCTGAGGCGATGTCTGTGCTGGGGACGTGGGGGCGGAGGGCGAGCCCTCAACTCTCTCTCCTCCCAGGGGCTGACTGGAAGCTGACTGACGTGCAGATTGCTACCAAACTGCGAGGGTGAGTGGCTCTTGGGACGGAATGCCCTTGGAGAGTCTTCCTGGGGTGGAAAATGTCCCAAGTCCTTTTGCTTCTCCATCCCGAAGGAGCTGGGCTTGGGGCCAAGTGGTCCCAGTCACACCATGGCCACGTGGGAACATCCCAGGGGCCGCTGATCCCAGGTCGGGACCGGCCGCTGTTGCCGATGCCTGCACACAGGGTCCCCTGCCATTCGGGCCCTCGCCGTGCTCCTCTGCCCTCCGGTCCCTCGAGCGTGCTCGCAGCATGCAGCGGAGCAGGGCCCTGTGCTTACAGTGCTGGCCCGAGGCTGCTCCGGCTCATGTTAAAAAGGCAAACCGTCCTCATGTCAATTATGTCCCACGTGTGAGTTCCATGTGTCAGGGTGTGATGAGACCACAGTTGTAAAGTTCAGGTTTTGTCACCCAGGGGAGACTCCCCATCACCCTCGGGTAGGGTAGGACATACCCTGGGCATCACACCCTGATGGTGGCCATCCCAAAGCAGCCCCCCAAGGGACTCCCACTGTGGGTGGCAGCCAGTGTCTTCCTGTCTGGCTGCAGATACCAAGGCCTCAAGGAGAGCTGCTTCCCTGCCCTGCTGGACCAGTTCGCCGCCGCGCACCAGTGCAGCGCCTACTGCGAGATGCTGGGGCTCAAAGCCCTCAAGGGCCTGGAGGCTGCCCACCCCCAAGCCAAGGCCAAAGGTTCCAAGAGTCCATCTGCTGGCAGGAAGGGCCCCCAGCTGAGCCCTCAGCCTCAGAAGAAAGGCCTCCCTAGTCCTCAGGGCACCCGGAAGAGTGCCCCAAGCTCCAAGGCCACCCCTCAGGCCTCAGAGGCAGTTGCCGTCCAGTTGTTGGGACAGCCTCCCAGCCAAGAGGTGGGCTCCAACGCCCAGGGCATGCGGTAGCCCTGACAGGAGGCTGGGGGCCTCCACCCAGCAGCAGACCAACCAGGAAGCAGCTTGAACCGGATGGAGACTTTCCTAACACGGAACTAACCAGAGAAGGTGCACTGAGGAGGCACCACTTGGGGACCTCTCTGAGCAGCCTCTCGATCAGCTCCTCACCAGATGGCGTTGGTGCATGGCACACAGCCCACTGGCCTCTTCTGGTGCCATCATCACCCAGGGCTCCCAGGCCTCAAGCGGGCCCCACCTCCAAGTGCCTGGCGGCCTAGGCCCTCCTTGAAGTTTACACTCGCCACTGCTGGAGGCTCCCCTGCGTCCTCTGCATGAGTTCTGCAGCCCGGCCCTCGCCTAGACAGATCCTGCAGCAAGTGTTGTACCCGAGTGCCCTTGCCTGGCCCTGGTCTCTCCCTGTCCTCAGGCTTCCAGACCTCCTGTGCTGGGTCTGGCCTGGTGACTCTCAGGGTGTCTTCTCCTTCCACCTACTTCGGCTCGTGCATCCCAGCTTATCCTGCCACTAACCTGCCGCCGAGCCCAGATGGGGCTCAGGGCCCTTCCAGAGCCTGTCATGTCCTTGTGCAGTGGTCTTTGATGACGCGTGTTCATGCTCTTCCTTCCCCCAACTCGCTCCCCTGCTCCCCTGCCCCCCCGCCCCCTCGCACCCACCCGCACATCCCACGCCGTGAGCCCAGCAGCAGCCTGCTGCCTGTCCTTCATCGACTCTGCTTGTCCCTTCCCCTGAGGGCTCCCTTGCCCTGACCCCACACCCTGCCCACCAATGCCCAGGTGAGGAACAGACCCTCTGGCATCTCCCTCCACCCAGTACGCCCTTCCCCACTTCTCCCAGGCTCTTTGCTCACGAGGTGAGAGCTGGCATGAGGGCTGTGTCAGCAGCTGTAGCCAGAGGGAGGGGTTGACTTTGAGGAACCCTGTGCTCCATACCAAAAGGGTGGGTCACAGGGACCTGCACAACCAGGGGTAGAGGGCTGGGCCCCTCCCCCATGGGGGAGTACACAGGTGTGTGCTAGGGAGGACGCAGTCTATCCATGCACTTGGGTGGAGGGGCGTCTCTGTGCCTGGAAATTAGGACCCCTGCCCCCAACCATTAGCTCTTGACCCTGGGGCTCCCACTCTGGCCTTTGCGTTTGGGCTCCCAAGGAATTTCTGTGCTGGCCCAGCACCCTGGCTTCTTCCTGAGCGCCCTCCTTGAGGCCTGGGGTGGGGTGGGTCCGGGGCTAGCCGGCTCCCCTTGGGATGCAATGAAGGCAGCACCTGTGCGTCCTGCTTGCCCTCACTCCTGTGGTCAGGGTGCCCTCCCCCCAAGGCAGGCTTTCTGAGGGTGCCCTGTAGTCCCTGGGCCTGCTGGGAGAATGAATCTATGTTTTGGCTCCTGGACCCAAGTTCAGTCTCAGCCTTCTGTGGCCACAGCTAGACAGTCTGTGCTTCTTGTCCAACTGAGCTGATGGCTTGTGCCCCTCAGGGGACCTATGCCTTTGGAATTGCTCTTTCACTTGGAAGAAGAACACAAAGGAAGGAACCCAGGAAGGAAGAACCGGGCTGGGGGCTCTGCAGAAATGCTCTGTGCCTCCGGCTGCCTCCCTTGCCGCAGACCACCCCAGGAGACTGGCTGCCTCCCAGCTGCTGTATTTCCTGCCTCTTCTCTTTCCCAACCCCACCCCTCGCTCCCCGTGGGGGGCCTTCCCTTGGCTGACAGCTCCCCTCCGTTTTGACATTTCTGACTTGTCTACCTCCTCTTGTGCTCAGGTGACCCCTCACTTTCTCCCCTTGCCTCAGTGTGACCCCCCACTCTCCTGGCCTGCATAACCAGATTACTTTGGTGAACTGAGAATTGGAGTATTGTTCGTTCATTTGTTCGTTCACCCACTCATTCAGCGGCATAAGCTGAGCACCTATGTTACGCCAGCCCCTGGGCTAGCAGCTGTTGGGAGGCAAAGAGGTACCAGGCAGTCCCAGGAGAGACTGTCTATCCGTTAGGATTCTTGGGGTTTGAGCAACAGAAATGAACTTGGGCCAACTTAAGCAAGGAAAAGGGTTCATGGGAAGGATGTTGGGATAGCTCACAGAGCCAAAAGAACAGCCGAACGATTAGCCGTGGGAAGCGTGGGCGCCAGGACAGCTCCGGGACTCGCCTCCCGGAAGCTGCTGCGGTCGGCACGTCAACACCCCGCTGCCATTGTTCTAGCGGGTCTCCTTCCGCTCAGGATTCAAATTCCAGGTCGGAGAGTCTGACCTGGAGCTCAGGGCCTCGCAGAGTGGGGGAGAGACAGTTTCCCAAAGGATGGGGATTCCTCCCAGAATGGCGGAAGGCAGAAGATAGAAAGGGTTTAGTAGACAAAACCAAGACACTGCCTCACACACACGCTATTCTTCCCATCTGCTGTGTTACGACTCTCCCACATACAACCAAAACCAAATTCCTCTCTGCTTAGGGAATTCGAGGTCATATCCAACTACTAAGTCCAGGGGTAGTGACAGGGCTACTATTCTCCAGTGTCAAAGCCCAGTGTCACTAGTGATAATCCTCTCCTTTTAGTTTTAGCACAATTCTATTGTGAGATTCTGTACCCTGTGGATATCTGGTAAAGTTAACCATAGTCAACCAAAATTATATAACCCAGCAAGAAAGGAAGTATGCGTGAAGTCTGCTGTCCATTTCTGTAACTGGCCATGAGAACTAGTGTTTGTGGTTATGGATTCTTGGCCTGTTGGAGTGACCCAAATCTTCAGTTATGAAGTCCAGCTCCTTGGTGGTCCTGCCTGTGTGACGGACATTTACTGTTGGACGTGGCAGCACCAGGAAGCACTCCCGGAACCCCGCCATGTCCATCTTTACCCCGCCCCGATAGCGTTCACCATCCTAGCTACGCCCATGACCTCCTGTTGCCTGTCACTCAGAGATATAAGGAGCCCGAAACAGCCAGGTGGTTGCCTCGGATTCCAATTCCGTTGAATCCTTACTATGTCTTTGAGGATGTGTCTCTTCCTTGGGGACTAAAACCTCTACACTAGCCGGGTCCCAAACCTCAGGTCTGAGGAAAGCACGGAGATGTAGTGACAGCACGTCCATCTCCACACTGCTTCCCATCCCTGCGGGAGAAACAGCACCCCGTGCTGGCTGCCAGCTCAAAGCTCATGCTACCTCCTGCAGGCCTGAACCAGGCTCTCAAGACGTAGTTTCTGGTGCTGCACAGAGTTTTCTACAAACCATCCCTCCATGCTGTCAAGCCAACTGCTTCTGGTTTGTGGGAGTCCTGACGAGATGAGTGAATGCCCCCCGCATCCACCCAGTGCTTTACTTTTGCCATAAAGTACGTTCTTTGGTTGAATGTCATGTGTGAGGACACCACGGTGATATTTATGGTATTTGATAATTCCATGGATATTGACAGTGGCGGAGGCATGATGGGTAAGGAAAATCAATCTAAATCCAGAACAAGGGCCCCAGATGATCAAGACAAATGACTGCTCCCTCTCAGAGCCATAGGTGTAGACTGAGGGACACTCAGCCGTACAGCAGGAGGCAGCAGCGGGAGAGGGAGCGCGCGGCCCACACACGCGACGGACTTGTGCCTCCAGAGCCCCAGCCTGGAGCGACAACGTCCACCTGATGATGGCGTGCTTCTGGCCGTGCCTGGCGTCAGGGCTAGGTGGATCAGGCAACCCCGCTTCCTGAGGGGCAGTGTGGCCACTGAGTGGGCTACAGCCAAGCATTTAGCCCCCCAGAGCCCAGTGGGGAACCAGAGGGGCGTTTCTTTCTTTTTTTTTTTTGAGACAGAGCCTCTGTCATCCTGGCTAGAGTGCAGTGGTGTCATCATAGCTCACAGCAACCTCAAACTCCTGGGCTCAAGGAATCCTCCTGCCTCAGGCTCCGGGTAGCTGGGACTACAGGTGTGCACCATGACACCGGCTAATTTTTCTATTTTTAGTAGAGACGGGGTCTCGCTCTTGCTCATGCTGGTCTCGAACTCCTGAGCTCAAGCGATCCTCCCGCCTTGGCCTCCCAGTACGGGCATCACAGGCCCGAGCCACTGCACCAGAGGGGCGTTTCTTAAAGGGATAATAGCTGCTCGTTGGCCAGAGCATTAACGGGTTCCAAACCCCGGGTTTCTCTGCCGTAGTTTTCTTACTAGGACTTATCGCAAGCTCCGTATAGCACTGTGCTCTGCCACAGGCTCTGTGTGGCTCTCGGGGATGCCCCAGACAGACACATACGTCAAGCCCCGGTGGATCTGCCGGGTCGTGGGGCCTGGTGGCAGAAGCAGTTGCACGAAAGGCTTTCCCAGCTGGAGAAGCTTCACTTGCTCTGGGCCAGCCCCACGCCTGCTAAGTAAGTCAGTCAGTAAACGGACCGGAGCAAGATGCCCCCAAGTGGCGTAGATTGCCTGGAATTAGGCCTTAGTGGCAAGGGGCCACAAATCACCTGAAGTAATTTGTCCTACATTATGAAGGAAATCTGACCTCAAGCAGACCCCTCAACCCCTAGAACTTTATTGAGGGCAGATCTTTGCACTTTTATGTGATTGGTCTCCCTCTCTGACTCATGTACGTTTTGCCAGGGCACCCAGGGAAACTTTTGCTGACTTCCTATCCTTTCTGTGGTTCCCAGAGAAGTGGACACAGACCCTTCTGGGGAAGGCTGCAAGGAAGTTTCACAATACGCATCTAAGTGTTACAATAAGGTTTTCCTTCAAAAAGATGTTTGACCTCCTCTCCATTTAAGGTCCGGAAGCCTAGTGAGAGACCTTAACTTTACCTTGGCACCTTGAGACAGACCCGTTGGCCCAGCCGGAAGTCTTTAGTTGTGGGGATTACTAGGCAGTACCTTAGGGCTGTCTGGCCTTTTTCATGACTGGGACCCCGTGATTGATAAACCACCCATGCCCATCATGGTGAGCACCCTACTTTGTTCCTCTGCCTATCTCTGTCGCCGAGATCAGGGGGCTCATTTTCACAGCAGCTCTTCCTGCCAGCATTCCAGGCCTGGAGAGAAGACCAGCAGAGCCTCCTGGACTTTTTCTCACGGCAAGGAGGGAGCCCATCCTCCGAGTCCTGCCAGAGGACAGTGAGTGGGGGAATGGGCTGGACGCATGCCAGTGACCCAATAAAGCATTTTTGTCTCCTGAAATCTTTGAGTTCATGCCTTTCTTGGATTTGGAGTATTTTGACATAATTTAGCATGGGCCCACATTGGGTCCAGATATGTACTATCCCAGCCCCCTTAAAATGGCAAGAACTGTATCTGGCTGTTTGAGTTTCTACATAGAATGTAGAATAATCAATATCAATATCAATAAAGGCAGCCTGAACCAAAATAATGTTCTGCTCATCTTGGTCAAACAGCCTTTAAAAAGTTTCCATAAATGTCCCCTATATTTTTTGACAATATATTCTCTAGTTCATGTGGTTTCTTCTGGATATAGCTCTTCTCTTTCCTGATCTGAGCCTGCCTTTCATCCTTTCGGCTATGCGGAATGTGGGTTCTGGTTACCCGCACAGCAACCGCGTAGTGCCGGGCAGGAGGGGAGGGAGAGGTACTCTCTTGGCAATGGGGTTCAGAAGAAAAGCTTCCTGAAGGATTGCGTTCAGGGTTTTTATGTCCTCTGATGACTCCCAGGTACCACTGAGCC